TCCCCTATCATGCTCATCTCGAATTCACTTTGCATTAGCTTAGAAAATTCTTGGTAAAGAACATCATTAGTAGAACCAAATATTATATCATCAACATAAATTTGAACTACTAATAAATCTTTACCTTTATGCTTTAAAAACAATGTAGTGTCAACCTTCCCTTTTGAAAAACCTTTTTTTTAATTAAAAAGTTTGACAATCTTTCATACCAAGCTCTAGGAGCTTGTTTTAAACCATAAAGTGCTTTTGTCAATTTAAGAACATGATTTGGAAATTTTAAATCTTCAAAACCTGGAGGTTGTTCCACATACACTTATTCTTTTATATAACCATTTAAGAATGCACTTTTAACATCCATTTGATATAATTTAAATTCATGAAAACAAGCAAATGCTAATAACATTCTAATTGCTTTTATCCTAGGTATGGGAACGTATGTTTCATCATAGTCTATGTCCTCTTTTTGAGTATACCCTTGAGCAACAAGTCTAGCCTTGTTTCTCACTATATTACCACTTTCATCAAGCTTATTCCTAAATACCCATCTAGTACCTAAAGTAGATTTATTACTAGGCCTTTCAACTAATGTCCAAACTTTACTCCTCTCAAATTGATTTAACTCTTCTTGCATAGCCATAATCTAATGTTCATCATTTAATGCTTCTTTAATATTCTTATGCTCTATGCATGAGATAAATGCAACATAATTACAAAAACTTCTAAGAGAGGATCGAGTTGTTACCCCTTTGGATGGATCACCTATTATTTCACCATCCTTGACATAGTTGTATTCCCTTGGGTAAGAGACTTCCCTTTCTTCAATGGTTGGATTCTCGAGAGGATCTTGAGTTTCCTCATCTTTCGTTTCTTCCTTTGATGATGGTTCTCCAACGTCATGTCCAACGTCATTTATATTTATAATGCCCACATCATCATTCACACAAGAATTCTTTCTCGGAAGGGGATTATCATAAAAAAAACAACATGTATAGACTCTTCTACAACTAAAGTTCTTTTATTAAATACTCGCTAAGCTTTAGAATTCAAGGAATAACCCAGAAACATTCCTTCATCACTTTTAGCATCAAATTTGCCAAGATTGTCTTTACCATTGTTTAAAACAAAAACATTTACATCCAAAAGGATGAAAATAGTTAATATTAGGCTTTTTATTTTAAAAAAGGTCATATGGAGTTTTCTTCAAAATAGGCCTAATCATTACTCGATTAATAACATAACAAGTGGTATTTGGGGCTTCCGCCCAAAAATATTTTGGCAAATTATTTTCACAAAGCATGGTTCTAGCCATTTCTTCTAAAGTTCGATTTTTCCTCTCAACAACTCAATTTTGTTGAGGGCTTCTAGGTGCTGAAAAATTATGGCTAATACCATTAGAATTACAAAATTTAGTAAATCCAAGAAGATTTTCAAATTCAGTTCCATGATCACTCCTAACACTAGTTATAGAGTAACCTTTTTCGTTTTGGATTACTTTTAAAAACGTGATGAATTTTTCTAATGCTTCATCTTTAGCACTTAAGATAGAACCCAAGTATATCTAGAATAGTCATCTACCAAGACAAATGCATATTGTTTTCCACCCAAGCTAGTAGTCCTAGATGGCCCAAAAAGATCTATATCGATCAATTGTAATACTCTACTAGTTGATACATCATTAATGGGCTTAAAAGAAGATTTTCTATGTTTTCCTTTAGCACAAGCATCACAGATTTTATCGTTATCAAATTTTAGCTTTGGCAACCCTCTAACTAAATATCCTTGAATCAATCGTTGCAAAACACTCATACGAGCATGTCCTAGTCTCCTATGCCATAACCAACTATCATGCTCATCCTTAGCAACTAGGCATAAATTAGTCATATTGATAGAATCTAAATGCACCATGTAAATATTTCATATTCTATGACCAACAAGCATAATCAAAGTAGATGTAATGTCAATCAATTTTGCAAACACTTAATTTAAAAATAAGACATTGTATCTTTTGTCAAATTCATCTAATCGGATTATGCTTTAATCCATTCACATACAAAACATTATGTAATGTTGATTATCGAGATTAAAAGCACATGCATAAAGTTTTTGAAAATGTTATGTATTAAAACTAAAAAAATGCATAAACATTAAGAAAAAATTAAGTTCAAAATTTTGCAAAAACCAAAGTTCTTGAAAAAAAATCGATATCAATTGTTAAAGATATATCAAAAACAATTTTGACCAAAAATTAATATGATGAACTAGAGTTTATAAAACATTACCAAAAATTACTATGTTCATCATACAATATTTTTCAACATACATGAGATAAAATATAATCATTTAGAATTATTCAACATTTAAAACCTCATGCATGCATAAACTAAATGAGCAACCAAATAAAATAAAAACATTAAGTTTAGAGGTTACCCATTCCTTTTTCATGTGTGGCTAGAGCATCTTGAATATCATCATCTTCATCACCATTCCTCCCATACACCTACAAGAGACATTTAAGTAGATTTTGGTATCCAAATTGCTTTGGATCCTTGAACATTAGTTTCAATGCCTCTTGTTCCTTTTGGAACTCATACTTGTCTAATTTTAAATCGTTTTCCTTTCTTTAAAGGACAAGTATGTTCCTTATGACTATGATAATGACAATGTGAACATATTGTCATTATTGAACTAGATGAATTATTTAAAATGATATCTTTTTCTTTTGTTAAACATTCAAGCTTAACTTTTAAATTGAATTTTCTTTTTCAATACTTTCAAATTTCATTTTTGAAAGCTCTAAATCCTTCTTCAAGATTTCATTTTGATTTTCAAAATCCATTTTCGTTTCTAGAAGAAGTTTGTTTAATTTGAAAATTTCTTTTTCAAATTTTTCAGATTTTATTTTTGAAAGCTCTAACTCATTTCTCAACATTTCATTTTGATTTTCCAAGTCTGTTTTAGCTTTCAAAAGAATATCATTTTTAGCAATAAATTTAGAAATTAATTTATTGTATTTGGAGTTCATGGTCTCAAACTCTGAAAATAATTCATCATAAGCATCTTGTAACTCATTAAAATATTTTGAATTTAATCTATTTGAGTTAGAAGATACCTTTGGCTCTGTGAGAGCTAATAGAGACATCAAATTTATTGGTTCTTCTTCTTCCTTGTCTCTATAGATCTCCTCAAGCTTATCCTGCATCTCCTTGGCATTTGAACAAGAAGAAACTCCTTTATATACATTAGGATCAATTGCACAACCCAACATGTGCATAGCTTTTGTATTTTGTTGAGCTTTCTTTCGTTCTTGATCACTCCACTTCTTTGCCTTCTTTGTAGGAGAATAATATCCTTTCTCGATCATCATCCAAGCTTCCATATCAAATGCTTGGATAAATATCATCATAAGCTTCTTCCAACAACGATAATTTGTTCCATTGAAGTGTGGAGGCACGTCAATTGGTCTAGATTCTTCCATGGAGAATGAACCGGAAGTGGACGCCATCTTTATCGATTTAACTCTTCTCGGATCTACTCAAGAGGTAATTAAACCTTCAAATGAGTCAAGCTCTGATGTCAATTGTTGAGTTAATCGATTGATGGAATTGGCCAAGAGGGGCTGAATTGGCAATAAAAATTTTGGTGGAAGCTTTCACAGAAAATTGAAAAAATTTGCACAGCGATTTAGAGTGGTTCGACTTTCTCAACCAAAGTCTACATCCACTACCTTAGCTATCCACACTAATGATTTTCCAACAAATTCACTAATTTGTTATTTCTTTTGAGGACAAAGAGTAACCTTACAACTCCCTCAAGAATTATACCCCAAATTCTTGAGCACACTCTTTTTCAAAGAGAAATACACAAATTTGCAAACTTACAAGGAAAACCTCACAAGGTAGATTGTTTGCACAATTCTAGAACAAAGAAAGAACACTCAAGGATAAATACAATAGAGCACAAATGGTGTTCTTGAAAGCACAATGAATATTGAATGAAAAATAGGCTTGAAGTGCTCAAACAATGAGTTTGATGCTTTCTCTTGATTCTCTCTCAATTCTTGATAATTGTTGTTTCTTGTTGTTGATCAATGGCTTCTAAGCTTGTTTAAATACTCCTTCAATTGATTCTGAAAATTGGGGATGATTAGTGGAGTCAATGGAGCCGTTTTAGTGTGAAATCAATTAATAAAACGGCTTGGAGCGTGGGGGGAATCGATACCCCCTCATAGGGAATCGGTTCACTAAGTGTAAAATTCAAATATTTCGACCGTTAATCAGGGGGAATCGATACCCCCTTGGAGGGAAATCGGTTCCCTCTGGACAATCTGGAATTTTTGGCTTTGAAATAGTTTGAAATACTTTGTAAAATTGTTTTGAAATTATTTTAAGATTAAAACTTAATTTTACACTTGAGTAAGGATTAAAAATGACATTTGAATGATTTGGAGTAATATTTTGATATTCGAATAATTATATCGAATATACTTAGAAAATCTTTTGGAAAATCTTAAAATTCATTTAACTTAATTTGTTATATCGAAATATCAAAATGTTTTCAACATACACAAATATGTGTGTGTGTAACACACACACACGCAGATAGATAAATATACACTGAATTTTTGTAATTCAAATATTATCGCGCATCTGTAAGCATGTTCTAGGGACATTCTGTTGGAAATGTGTAAGATAAATAGACAAATAGAATGAAACAGATGGGATGATAATTCATTTACTTCTTGTGATTGAAAATTTTATTTAATTTCATCTAGACTTCTCAATACTACAAGTCAGCAATTGTATATAATGCCACTATAATATTTTCTTTGAATTGTTGCCAATAATTAACTATGTGTAGGTGGTCCTTTCTTCCAGGGTCATAACAGTGTGGAGATCTTCTTGTTGAGACCCACATCGACTCCATTGTAAGCAATGGGAGCATACATCCATAGATCATCAGAGCTTAAAAGCTGCAATCAATCAAGCAAAAAAAAGGGCAGTTCCATATTAGTAATTACGACTTAAATCATACATTTATTTTATTTTAATCAAGATTTTATTGAATCCATTTTGCCTCAGTTACCTTGATCTGTAGCTGCAAAAACTTCACATAATGAACAGCCTCTTCAAGCATTGTGCTGATATCAACCTGTATTATTATCAATATAAATACCTGAATTATAAGTAATTACAACCCCACATTTGTATAAACATTATGGAAGAATAATATTGGTTAATTACCTTTGTTCCATTGGGTACAAGGTTCTGCAAAATCCTCAATCTCTCATTGATCCTCTCTCTTCTTTTCTGCAATATTAAAAAGTATTTAGATAAATGGGGATCTGGAGATGATAAATCATGATCATAGATCTTTTCTTACCCTTGCATAAAGACTCTGGGGATCAGTTGCTGATCCTCTACTGGCTCTTGTCTCTCCATTCAAGTTAAGAACTTGAGAGCCTTTGGTGTCCTGAGAAACATTGTCATCATCTGAACTACACGTGCCTGAACCAAATCCATGAACTGCAACCATGTTACACTCTCCTTCATTGCCATTCACATTGATCTTGCGATTCTTTTTTTCTCTTACATCTTTAGAAGCCCACGGTCGTTTCTTCGGGTTCTCGGTTGAAATGCTGTTGATTTTATCCCCTCCGGCTCCGCCATGCAATTCGATGGAATTAACAGTGTTTGGGACCGGTGTTGCAGCAATATGATTAAAGCCAGTAAAATTGTAGGGATCAAGAGAATCATAGTGAAAACTAGAGTGGAGAGCATTGGCAGAAGGCATAAAAATCTCATCGACTCGAGGGTTTGAAAAAAAACTCAAGGCCTCATCATGCTCTAGAGGAAACGAAAACTGATAAAGAATTTGGTGTGAGAAATCAAGCTGGTCTTCAATGGAGAACACTTTGTTAAACGAGTCCCACTCTCCATCAGGAAAAGCTGCAAGTGACTCCATTGAGAAAATGAGTGATTTTGGCTACTTGCAAATTGAAGCTTTTCAAAATGTGTGTTTGAGGTGAGTAAAAAGCTAGGGAGATCTATACCACAAACCCTAAAGAGAATGTTAGCAAGGATTGACTTGGATTAGTTTATTGAGTTGTTAAATCCCAATTATTAATCTGCTACTAATCCAAGAGTCCACTGTGGGCCAAAACCGGGCAAAGTACAACTCATAAGGTCGCCAAGTTCATGAATTGATGGATTAAAATAAAGCAAATGACCCTTAAACACATTGGAACTGTTCAAAAGTGGAATTAAAATGACATAAGGGGTTCAACAACAATCATTGAGAGGTGACTAATTAGTCATTGAAGATGTGATTTAGAATGAAGCACTCGTAAGGATTAGACTACCCTTAGTTTCCCCATTTTAAAATGACAGAACAGAACGTGGGATTGAATATAATAACAGCAGGAATATTATAATATTTAAAAAAAAAGTGCAGCAAACAGACGGCCAGATCGTGGGGATAGAGTATGACATTCTCTAAAATATCAGACACGGTAACCGCCAAACTCGCTCCCTGTCCTGAATGGGCAACTGGCATCAACCAAGCGTTATTCGTTTGCAATATAATCCTTTTAACTTGCTATGAACTATTAAATTAATATTAGGCTTAAATGTCTCATTGCTGCTGAAATATTCTATTTGTACTTAGTTGGACTTAAAGTATTTTTAAGACGTTTTGTGTCCTTAAATATAATCTTTACTTCATTTACTTGCATCGTATTCTCCGCTTAGAAATAAATTTGAAGATAAATCAAAACACGTCATGTCGTCATTTAATTTTAATTTATTGTATATAAAGAAATGAAAATCAATTAAAAATATAAAATATGTCAAAAATGTCCCTGCTTCTTCTTCTACCCCTCCACCGTGCACCCTCCCTTTCCCCTACACCAACATCCTTTTTTTCTTCTTGCGACGAGAAGCATTCCCCCCTTTGACGGGGCCAAATTCATAAACCCTACATTTCAACCCTTTTGTTTTTTTTCGCCTTATAATTTCCCATCTGAATCAACATTTTCCCCAAATCTGATCTTTCTTCTTCTTTTCTCTGAGAATACAGTCCAAAGAGAAGACAAAGAAGCGACGATCTCAGATTGGGCGTTGAGAGACAAACGGTGGCGGCTCCATCCGTCAATGCAAAGCCACCGCTTACATACGAGCGAACAACGGTTCCGATCTCTGAGACCGAGGAATTGAAAAAAATAAGCTAAAACTCATCGGGAATCTCAGCTGTGTAATCCCGATTCTCCACAAACTCATCGGAAAATCCATCGCTCGAAACAAAACTTGAAATGGAAAAGCCAAATCGACCCCTGAAGGAGTTCTCGCTGTCTAAAGCTTCACAAACAAAATGGAGAGGGTTGAATCATTACCCCATGTTTTCTTCCTCAATTGGCTCCCGAGCTTCACAAAACTATTGGGGTTTTTGGATTGAAATTTGGAATCAAAGGCAGATTAATAAAGATATAACCTTTTTGGACATTGATGAAGTTGGAAGGAGTAATGCAGAGGGTAAAGAAAGTTTGGGAGAGATTAGGATGCAAAATGGAGAAAAGGAAAAGAGGAGTGTTGGTTCTGGGGAAAGGGAGAGTGCACGGTGAAGCGGGAGAAGGAGGAGGTTGACATATTATATAATTTTATTTTTTAATTGATTTTCATATAAAATAAATTAAAATTAAATGATGATGTGGCATGTTTTGATTGGTCAATAAATTTATTTTTAACGGAAATAATGATTTGGGCCAAATAGGATAACGATTTATAGTTAATAGGACAAAACGTCCTCAAAAATACTTTAAGAAGCAACTCGGTACAATTGATATAGTTCAAGGGGCAATGGGACATTTAAACCTTAATATTATACATTGGTTAGATTGATATGTATTCTATTTAAGGTCAGTTTGACAGGACTTTTGAAAAATGACTTTTAAAAATGTGGTAGAAAATAACTTTTAAAAGTATTGGTTAGAAGTGCAGTTTAAAATTTAACTGGTTGAGATTATTGTTAAAACGTGAGTTTAAAAAGATAAAATCTTCATTATATAAATTATGTTGTAAATTAAAAATATAAAATTTAAATTATATTTATACTTATTAATATTATGATATATAAAATATATCGCTTAAAATATATAAAAAATATAAAAAAAAATTTTAAGATAACTTATTAATTATAATAAAATATATTTCATAATAACTCACTATTAATATCTTAATATATAAACCATGAATTTTATTTACTTTTAAATAATTAAAATAAATTATTAAGTAGTAAATTATTTTTTAAAGATGTTAATATTAAATTATAAAAATAAAATGATAAATGAGTGGAGCTTATGCATTAATAAAGGTAAAATTATAATCTGCTGCCAAACACAAAATTAAAAATTAAAAAGTTACAAATTTTAGCTTTTACAATTGGTTTGAAATTAACGTTTCGACCGCAATTTTTTTACGTGTTTGACATTGATTTTTTGATTTTGCGATTAAAAATAAGTTTTTTTTAAGTAAAAGTGCATTTAAAAAGTCACACCAAACGAGGTTGGCCTTAAAAAACCTTAAACCTCGTTTATCTTTTTTATTATCTTAGATTAATTGATGACTGCATTAGTTTTTCTTTATTTTAGTTGATGGGTGATGATATTAGTCTTGATGTTAATCACTGTTATCTGTATTTTTTATTTTTCATTTATTTTTTATCTAACATCTTTTTTTTAATTTTTAATTAATTTATCTTTATGATATATTTTTCTATGCATTTTGATACGTTTTTGGTCATTTGACCATTGTTTTTTGTTTATATTTTTCCTTATAGTTGGATTTGACATCGTCAAAATTAATCAATATGACACTTATTTATTATCATTATGATCCATGCTTACATCACTTGACTCTAATTTGTGATTTTTCAATAATCTTTATAACAACCGGTATACGATCTATTGGTCGACTAATCCGAATAGGGTACTATAGAGACAAAGGTAACCCTACCAATCTAGTTTGCTCCAATGGCAATAACCAGGATTTAAACCTCTGACCTTGCTTAAGAGATCTAGTGTCTCATCCCACTAGACTAACTGATTATTGGTATCATTGTGAGATTTTAAGTGACTAATTTATTGTATCAACGACTATAGAAAAATATTCTAATCATGTATTTAATTTTTTATTATAGTTATAAACATTTATTCCAATTCTGAATATTTCCTTTTTCTTAATAAAACTAACAACCTCTATAAATAAAACAAATAATTGACATGTATTCGTGTATGTATATATAGATATGAACCTAACAATTTAGAAAATCCGAGCAGAGTTATATATGAACATTAACCCTAATAGGGTAAGGTTGACTCTCGTTACCGATATCTGCAGCAAAAGCATGCACCTGGTGAAGAGTTTCTAACCTAAACCATGTGAAAGTTATAAATAAAAATGCAATTATTCAGCAATTTGATTAAATCATCAAACAGTCTTTTTTTTTTTTTAACGGAGCATCTTTTTTGGTTGAGTTGGGCAAATAATCCAAGCGGGTGGATTATTTAGTCCAATAGGGCACCCAAAATTTTATTTTGGGATATACGGTAAATGATACAATGTTTACATAACTCGTTATGCCGGCGTGATGAGTTCCATGAAATATTTTTTTAATGGGCCGGCGTGACGAGTTCAATGAGATATATTTTTTAATGGGTTGTGTCACGTGGGTCTCACTACCCAAATATATTTAATATATCCTACGGGACTCGTAAAAATTTCAAAATTTTTTAAAAGCATTGTAAAAATATATATTATTTTAATGCTGAAGGAACTCGTCACGCGGGTGTGAAGAGTTCCAACTGGTATAATTTTGAATTTGTTGATTGTTGGATTGACCGTTGTTGAACAACCAATTTTTTTTTTAAAAAAAATTCAATGTAACTCGCCACGCCGGTGTGACGAGTTCCAACATCTATTTTCAATTTGAAAAAACTAGTCGTTTATAGTCATTGGGTAGAGTAGTATAAATAGAGGTTTGTGTTAGAATAATTTTTCACTTGGAATCAAACATTTTATTGAGAGTAAAAACTTTTGTGTTGAAATGACCTCAAGAGAAGAAATGATACGTCTTGATGATGTTCATATTTCATCGACCGAGTTGACTACGATAAATTTAATTTGTTTTATTTTATTTTAGTTTTGACAAAATTATAGTATTAATAATAATTATTTATGTAACTATATTAAATTATTTATTTTCAAATTGTAGTAAGAAGAACGAGACATTCATCATCGAGGAATGAGGAATGAAGAGCCACATTAGCAGATGATGATATATCTTTCACAATATGGATTATATGAAGCGACGTTTCTTCACGGGATTTAATGTCATGTCGGTACTGATATCGGCGTTGATTGAGCATTAGAGGCCCGAAACGCATACGTTTCATTTTCCTTGTGGTGAAGTGACGATAACATTGGAAGATGTCGCGTACAACTTGGCGTTTTGATTAATGGTATGCCATTGGTGCTTCGTAACAATTATTTGCGAGATGATGTTATTTCAAATTTATTGGGAAATGAGGCTCCAGCCGATGTTATTGATGGGATACATATACGAATGACGTGGTTGGAAAGAGAATTTTGAGTAGATGGACAATCAACGGAGCAAGAGGTGATATATGTAGCTCGAGCATATCTTATGGCGTTGATTGGAGGGATCTTGCTACCAGATAAATTGGGCAATTTGGTGCACACCTAATATCTTCCGATATTGGAGGATTTTGTTGTATGTCGTCAATATAGTTGGGGTTATGCAATTTTGGTTTTTTTTTTTTTTGTATCGTGAACTTTGCATGGCAACCATAGTCTTTAGAGGACAAAAAGCAGATGTAGCGGGTTGTTTAGTTTTGCTACAATCATGGGCATGATACTATCTCCCATTTTTTACGCCTATTATATTCACTC